GGATTACAGGTGTGAGCCACTGTACTTGGTCTTGTCTTTTTTTTCTTTTCTTTTCTTTCCTTTTCTTTTCTTTTTTCTTTCTTCTTTCTTTTTCTCTCTCTCTTCTTTCTTTCTTTCTTCTTTTTTTCTTTTTCTTTTTTTTCTCTCTCTTTCTTCTTCTTCTTTCCTTCTTTTCTTTGTTTTTGAGACAGGGTCTCACTGTGTTGCCCAGACTGGAGGGCGGTGCTGAGAACATGACTCACTGCAACCTCCACCTCCTAAGCTCAAGCAATCCCCTGCCTCAGCCTCCCAAGTAGCTGGGACCACAGGATGTGCGCCACTGCACCCAGCTAATTTTTTAAAAACATTTTGTAGAGACACAGTCTCACCATCTTTCTCAGGCTGGTCACAAACTCCTGGGGCTCGAGTGATCTTGCTTTGGCATCCCTAAGTGCTGGGATTACAGGTGTGACCCACTGTGCCAGGCCACTTCAACCCCCTTTTTTTTTTTGAGATGCGGTCTCGCTCCTGTCGCCCAGGCTGGAGTACGGTGGCATGATCTTGGCTCACTGCAACCTCCACCTCCCAGGTTCAAGCAATTCTCCTGCCTCAGCCTCCTGAGTAGCTGGGATTATAGGCGACCACCACCACGCCCGGCTCATTTTTGTATTTTTAGTAGAGACAGAGTTTCACCATGTTGGCCAGGCTGGTCGTAAACTCCTGACCTCAGGTGATCTGCCCACCTCGGCCTCCTGAAGTGCTGGGATTACAGGGGTGAGCCACCGTGCCCAGCCCATTTCAACAACTTTTAAGCATCCAGTTGAGTGGCATTAAGTACAATCACAATGTTGTACAACCATCACCAGTATCCATTTCAGAACTCTCTCACATCTCAAAAAGAAACTCTGCATCAGTCAACTAAAAACCCCCTATTCTCCACTCCAAAACCTCTGGTAACCTCTATTCTACCTTCTGTCTCTATGAATTTGCCTATTCTAGGGCTATTTTTTTTTCCAACGGGCTAATACACATACATGGTAAGAATTCACGGAGCAGAAAAGTTTCTGCCCTTCCCAGATGAACTGCTGTCGCCAGTTTCCTGTTCCTTCTTTCAGAGATATTCTGTGCACATACAAATAGGCATGTGTATACATATCCTTTCATTTGTTTACAAAGTGAATATGCTTTTTATGCCTCTTGCTTTTTTATTTAACAATAAATCTGAGAGATGAAAAGGTATTTTGTACATCAGAATATCAATATATCTTCCATATCAGCACACACATCCTTGTTAATGGTTGTGCCGTATTCTATTGTATAGGTGAGGCATACTGTATTTAGCCAATCCCTTATTGATAGAAGCTCTTCAATTTTTAATCTGTTGCATTTATCTATTGATACCACATGCCCACCCTTAGCTGCAGAAATGAAGTAGCACCTACTTAGCAAGGAGAACTAATTAAACATTAAAAAAAAAACTATCAGACTAGCAAAAATTCAAGTCTGGCAATACCAAGTGTTGACAAGGACATGGAGGAACTGGCACTGTTATAGATGGTTGGTGAGAGTGGCAATTGTCCTAACCAGTTTGGGAAGAAGCTAGGCATTCTCTAGTCAAGCCAAAGGTATGCAGACCTTAGGCCCAGCAAATTTCCTATCCAAGAAACTCTAAAGAAACTCTCCCTGGCCAGCTGTGGTGGCTCATGCCTGTAATCCCAGCACTTTGGGAGGCTGAGGTGGGAGGATCACTTGAGCTCAGGGGTTTCAGACCAGCCAGGGCAGCATGGCAAAAGCCTGTCTCTACAAAAATTATAAAAATTAGCCAGATGTGGTGGTGTGCACCAGCAGTCCCAGCTGCTTGGGAGGCTGAGGTGGGAGGATCACCTGAGCCCAGGGAGCTTGAGGCTGTGCTGAGCTGAGATGGTACAACTGAACTTCAGCCTGGGCAACAGAGTGAGACCCTGTCTCAAAATAAATCCCATAGATGGACCAGGAAACAGGAATAGCCATTGCAGCATGTTGATGATAGCCATGCATAGGAACCAACTTAAATGTTCAACAATAGCAGAAAAGAGAAATAAATTGTGGCGTATTCACATAGTGGAATAGTAGACAACAATAAAAACAAACTATAGCTAGATGCATCAACAGGAATAAACTTCACAAACAATAATAAGTCAAAAATGAGTTTAATAAGGTTACATGCAGTATGATGCCATTTTTACAAAGTTTTAAAGCATGTAAAACAATACCATATATTGTTTATAGGTACACACATCTGTAGTAAATGTAAAACTAAGTTCAGGTAAGCCTGGGCAACATAGCAAGACCCATCTCTAAAAAAACAAAACATAAAAAAATTAGCTGGACATGGTGGTGCAGGTCTGTGGTTTTGGACACTCAGGAGGCCGAGGTGGGAGGATCACTGGAGCCCAGGAGTTCAAGACTGCAGTGAGCCATGATCACTCCACTGCACTCCAGCCTGGGTAACAGAGCAAGGTCCAGTCTCTTAAAAAAAAAAAAAAAAGTGGGCGAGGCATGGTGGTTCACGCCTGTAATCCCAGCACTTTGGGAGGCTGAGGTGGGCAGATCACCTAAGGTCAGGAATTCAAGACCAGCCTGGCCAACATGGTGAAACCCCATCTCTACTAAAAATACAAAAACTATGCCCGCCAAACATGGTGGCAGTCACCTGTAGTCCCAGCTACTCAGGAGGCTGAGGCAGGAGAATTGCTTGAAGCCGGGAGGTGGAGGTTGCAGTGAGCCGAGATCATGTCATTGTACTTCAGCCTGGGCAACAGAGTGAGACTCTGTCTCAAACAAACAAACCAACAAAAGGTGGAACACATTAGCACTGGAAGCTGCCACTTGCATTGTTAATACCTTTGAATTGCATCATCAATTCAAAGCTATTGGAGGGAACATCTGTGGCTGTTGGCCCTGGGTTTCCACCAGCTCTGGGCTGGTTAGAGTTTCTACCCATTGTAGTTCATGTATAATGCTGAGATGTTCACCCCAGTCATGAAGACTGCTCCAGGCAAGACCCTGGGCTCTAGTGGTCCCCAGGCCTGTGGGAGGGAAGCTCGTCTGTGCTGTCACATGAGCCTCAGGCTCTGCCCCTCTTTCTCCCAGAGGTCATTTCTAGAGCTTCCCCAGAGGATCCAGCATTATCCCTCTGTGACACCTAATCTCCTGCCTTAGGCAGCCTGATCCTGGGCTAAGTCTCTCCTGGCCGGGGAGCCTCTCACCCGGCCTCTTTCAAATCCCACAGCGCAGACCTTGGCAGTGTGGAGGGAGAGAGCCTGGTTCTTCCAGCCATCCCTGGGCAGCCTCCTGGTGCCCCAGGATAGAAAAAACACTCGCATTTCTTTGCACCATTGACCCCATCACCGCAGCACCAGAGCATCAGACATCTGCAAAACATCATTAGGTAGGTGTTAACTTTTCCCCACTGGTAGGCCTGGTGCTCGTAAATGTACTGTGACGAGTGTAATGTGTTTATGAGAATGTGCATAATAAATTATCAGAAATAGGCTGCATTTTTAATATCATTTAATATATCAAGTTGGCCTCTCAGCAGCCACAAGCTATATTGCAAATGCTGAACTGACTTGCTGGCGTCAGCGCTCCACCATGCTCTCCATGCCGAGGCCATAGTGTACGCCAAGAAGGAGGCAGGAGACCCCCAGAGTGGTGGTTCCTACCTCCCTTCCTGACCTCCCCTCCGTCATCTGGAATCCAAAGAAAAAGGGGCTTCATTTATCCCTGGGCTCCCTACAGAACGCAGCCTGGGGCCTGTGACAGGGTAGGTGCACAATAAATATTTGTGGCTTCATGAATAAATGAATGGACAAGAGACCTTGGAAGGCCCCTCTCCATCAACCAGCAACATTGTTTGGAACTCCTCCATCCAAGCGCCTCTGTTGGGTTAACATTTTCTGTTAATACAAAGAACGTTCTATTAGCACAGCAGGACAAGAGCTCCTCCGGCAATCAGGGAAGGGTGGAAACGGGGGACACATGTTAGGCCTGGGTCAGAGAGGGCCCTTCTCCTCCGGGCACATGAGCACCAGCCAAGATGCCAACCAAGGAACATCCAGTCAAGTGCTGCCGAGAGGGCATTTCCTGAAAAACACACGTTACCTACTGTGAAGATCTGTTAGCTGGTCCTTCTCCACCAGGAAAGAGGTCAGAACATCCAAACAGGAGGATATCAGACCCCCCAGTGTGGCTTTGCCAAACCTTTCTGGAAATTCCAACACCTGCCTTGGGTTAGGCACTCACTTCCCCAGTGAAGAATCACTAAATATTGAGAAATGTCACTGATGGGCATATGTTACACATGTGAACAGCATAGAGGCAGCCCAGCAGGTTGAAAAATCACTGTTAAACCATTAGCACCCTCTAACCCAGCAAGTATCAACCTCCATTGTGCACCAGAATCATCAGGGGTACTTAAGATGCATGCTCAGTGTGCACACACATATTCTGAGTCAGTGGGTGTGAGGTAGGGGCCTGGAATCTGCATTATTGATAGACATCCTGGGCTGGGTGTGGTGACTCATGCTTGTAATCTCAGCATTTTGAGAGACCAGGGCAGGAAAACTGTTTAAAGCCAGGAGTTTGAGACTAGCCTGGGTAACATGGGGAGACCCCGTCTCTACAAAAATTTTAAAAATTAGCTGGGGATGGTGGTGCATGCGCATGGACCCAGTTACTTGGGAGGCTCAGTTGGGAAGATCACTTGAGCCTCAGGAGGTCGAGGCTGCAGGGAGCCATGATCTCACCACTGCACTCCAGCCTCGGTGACAAAGTAAATAGACACGCTGGTGCTACAGATACCTGGACCATTTTTTAAAGAACCCACTTAATCTCATTTGACAGGAGCCCTTGAGAGGGTCTGTGGGGACTTAGGAGAAAGCTCAGAAGCTCGTTGGGAAAAGCAGGGGGCACAGAGGCAAGGGCATGGGGCTCCTGAGGGCTGTGACCAAGGGCAGACTCTATCCACTTAACTTTGCCAGAGGCTGATCCAGCTGCCCAGCTGCCCACCTCAGCATTGGGAATGGAAGGCGACGTGATTGATGAGGCTCTGGACATATCCAACAGCTTAGAGATGCCCACACATGCCAGCCAGCGCCCAGCCTTGGTAAGTGCATCCACTTGTCACCTGGTCCTGGCAGCAGACACGGAGCAGCCAACCGCATGTCACTGGTAGAGAAATCGAGCCAGGCACTGGGAATGCAATGACAGTTTGCACCAGGAAGGTTTGCACCAGGGCGATTTGCACCAGGAAGGTTTGCACCGGGACGGTTTGCACCAGGAAGGCAGGGGCAGCAGAATCACAATTCCCTGAGCGCCAGTTGCACAGTGGGCACTGTGTACCCATCTTCGCCTTTAACTCACACAAGCTTGTTATTATTCTCCCCCGTTGCTGATGAGACCCAGGGCCTGTTAAGCAACTTGCCCAAAGTCTGGCACACTTAGGAGGAGGCTCCCCTGACTTTTGATTCTAAGTCTGCCTACTCCGTGACCTATGCTCTTTCTAGAAAGTAGACACCTGCCCAGATAACACCACTTCTGTCCCTTGGGGAGGCCCCACCCCATTTCAGCTGGGCTCAGAGCTGGGCAAATTCAGACCTAGAGTGGATTTCAACTCTGCCACCTGCCAAAGGCTGGACCCCAACATGCCATGTGTTTCTCCAGTGGGCATCCTGGGGTTTCCTGGCTCCATGCTTAGGAGGCTGGGCCCTCCACCTGACTTCTTCCAAACCCTCCCCGAGAGCCAGCTCCTGCAGAGCCAAGAGCCATGAGCTGATCCTCCAAAAACCAGACCCCCAAGAGAAGCGGCCAGGAGGGAGCAGCCAGCTCTCGGTGAACACAGTCACAGGGCCTTGATGTTAAAAGGGCAAGGCTCAGGGGTCAGGATGTCCAGGTCTCATCCCCAGTCTGCCTCTTGCTAGTCACTTGACCTCCCGCAGCCTCAGTCTCCCCAACTGTAAGATGATGACGACACCCTGTAGCTCCTTAGTAAAGGAATGATAAAATGACAGCTCAGCTTCTGCATTTTAATACCTGTGTTATTATATAATCATTTTGTGATGCAGCCACCTCTGGCACAGAAAAAGTCACTCTGTGCCTATTTAAGGATTAATCCCCTTAAGCATTCCTGGAAATGAGAGCCCCTCTGTGCCAGGCTGCCCTTCCAGGCTCTTCTGTCCTTCCCTTGGCCTTTGGCTCTTGGAAGGCTGAATATTTCTCCCACCAGGACCTCAGACTATCTTTAGGGAACCCCCAGGCCAGTCATTCCCACTGTATCCCCTGAGGCTCTTGGCCTCCTTCCCTCCTTCTCTTCCTCCTCCTTTTTTTCCCCCTCCTTCCCCTCCTCCTCAGTTTGGGCTTCCCATGTCCAAGAAGCCTCAGGATGAGCTTTGGGAACAAGGTTTTACCTGTGTTTCCAACTCTGCTCTGAGCCTCTGAGCTCTGTAGTGGAGGGGAGGAGAGGGAGAAGGGAGGGCAAGTGGAAGCATCAAAAAGGACACTGGGCTGTCATCGCAGCTCTGCCGCCAGCCAGCAGTCCCCCTGGGCACATCCTTGTGCCTGAGCGCTAATTTCCTCACCTGTGAAATGGGAACAGCAGGCCCTGCCTACATCCTGGGGTGGTTTAAGGAATCAATGAGATGACAGCTGTGAATGTTCTTGGCACAGTACAACGTATGCCATGTGTTCCTCCAGTGTTTTCAAAGGCCGGTAGTGCCCGCCACCACCCAGTTCAGAACTCAGTACGAAACATGAATTTCTCATCACTTCTCACCATGAGTCTTGTCTTTCCAAAGGAAGGGAGAAGGGAAAGCCGACTGAGCCCCTCTTATCTGTCATGTTCTGTGCTGGATGGGGCTTTGCCACAATGCTGTGCAGTTGGAAACAGCCTCACTTCATAGATGAGGAAACTGAGGCTCAAAGAGGTCGAATAGCCTGCCAGAACTGTGCAGCTGGAAGCCGTAGAGCAAGGTTTCGCCTCTCTTTACTCTGCTCCCCATCACTCTGCAAGGGTTACAGTGGGGGAACAAGAGCCTCTTGGAGCCCCTTATTCAGACTCAACAAAGGCACCCAGCTAAGAAGCTAAGTGTCTTTCCCGTCAGTGGAAACCAGAGGGTAAACAGGATTCCATTCGTGCCCGGGGCTTTCCGGGAACACACCTGTCCAAGCAGCAGCAGTTCCCAACAGAGCTCTGGTCCGGAAAGCCAGACAACCAGGGCTGGGCCCTCTGGGATTTGTTTAGTGATCTGACCGTGTGGGAGGCCTAGAGTAGGAGTGTGGTGGGGGGAGGGTGCCGCCCAGCCTCATTGCATCACTCACCGCCCAGACCTTCCCCTCACCCGCTCCTGACCAGGCCCTGTCCAGGTTCTCAGCCACCCTGCCGCGGTGGGTCCTTCGGACTACTCACTGACCGCGTGAAGGACTGACCCGAGGTTCGAGTGCTGTGTTGTATGTGACCTGAGAATATGTGTGCACAGACTGTGCCCCCGTGTCCTTGCACAGTTGAGCGTCTACATGTCCTGCCCGTGTGTAGGCAGCCTGTCCCTACACGCTAGGAGAGTGACTCCATGTCCTGCTAGATGGGGGGGGAGAGAGGGACTTGTGCCCAGGGTCCCCTGGTCACTTCTATGGGTGCATGTTTGTGTGTCTTGTTAGGGGTGCTTGGGGGTGTGGAAGCCTGTGTCCTGGGTGCCCTTGACCTGTGTGTGTGCTCCATGAGGTGTGCGCGCGTGTGCACGGGGGGTGCGCTGTGTCACAGCACCCTCAACCAACTCTACGTGCCCATGCAGACGTTTGTATGTGTGTCCCACCGTGTGAGCGAGCGGATGCTTCCACCACGTATCTCTGCACACGTGTGTGTGCACTTGCACACCTGCGTGCGTCCCGAGAGAGCGAGCAGAGCCCAGCGTGGGCTGGCAGGCGCGGGAACGTGTGGGTGCGCGTCCTGCGGGTCCCTGCCCGGCCGGCTCCCGGCTTGTACCGCGGCCGTGCATGAGCGGAAGGCGCCCGGCGGCCCTGCCCGGCCGCGAGTGTGCGCGCACGGGGTCCCGGGCCGGCGTGCGCGCCGGTGTGAGTGCGAGTGAGTGTGGCGCCGCGCGGCTCCCTCCGCTCCGCGCCGCCCGCGCAGTCCGCACACTCACCCTGCTTGGCTGCTGCCGGGTGACGCGGGCTGGGCCCGCCCCCTGCCTGCCGGCCCCTGGCGCTCACTCGAGCCGTCCGCAGCGGAGCGGGCAGCAGCCGAGTCAGGGCCGTCCGGGGGCGCGGCCGGCGATGCCTGCAGCCCCCGCCGCGCCCCGCCGGGCCTGCTGAGCCGCCCCCGGGCCGGGGTCGCGCCGGGCCGGGCCGCGCCCGGGGCGGGGCGGCGCTGCCTGCATGACCCTCCGGCGGCGCGGGGAGAAGGCGACCATCAGCATCCAGGAGCATATGGCCATCGACGTGTGCCCCGGCCCCATCCGTCCCATCAAGCAGATCTCCGACTACTTCCCCCGCTTCCCGCGGGGCCTGCCCCCGGACGCCGGGCCCCGCGCCGCTGCGCCCCCGGACGCCTCCGCGCGCCCGGCCGCGGCCAGTGCCGGCCGCCGCAGCCCCTCCGACGGCGCCCGCGAGGACGACGAGGATGTGGACCAGCTCTTCGGAGCCTACGGCTCCAGCCCGGGCCCCAGCCCCGCGCGGCCGCCCGCCAAGCCGCCGGAGGACGAGCCGGACGCCGACGGCTACGAGTCGGACGATTGCAGTAAGTTTCCAACTCTCCGACTTCGCGCCCCCTCCCCTGGCTCGGGCTTGGCGCCCCCAGGCCTCGCGGGTCCCCTCGGCCGGTCCCCCTCGCGTGGTCGCGCTCTCCCTCGGCGCACACCCCCGCCGCGGGGTTGCGGGCCCCTCGCGCGCTCCGTGCACTCCCCGCGCCCTGCCCGCCGGCCTCGAGCCCTCCCTGACCCGGACCGGAGAGGAGGGAAGTTTGGGGGCACCCCCTGGGGGTGCCCCATTTCCGGGGCCGGGTTCCCAGGAGCCGGCGCCGCGCCCCCTCCCTGCCAGCCCGCCCTCCCCAGGCTCCGGCGCGGGCGGCTGCTTTTGTTCCCGGGAAGGGCGGAGCTGTGTCCCGGGGAGACACCAGTTGCTGCCGGCCTCGCGCTCGCTCCCCGCTCGCCAGCCGCTCCGGGAGGGCCTCGCGGCCGAGGGTCGGGGTTGGGGTGGGCTGAGGAGGGGCCCGAGGCTGGGAGCGGCCCGGCCTCCCGCGTGGGCCCGGCGGCCCGCAGAGCGCAGCGGCTTTGCCGGTGCGCGGGCAGAGGACCAGGAGGACCGCGGGGCCGCTTGTCCTTTGGAAAAACCTTGGCGGTTCCTCCTCCAGTGTCCATGGACCCCGCCGCGGCGCTGGCCAGGGCCGCGCACCTGCGCCCACCTGTTACGCCCGCGGCCCCCGGGCGGAAAGGGCCTCCCAGCCCGCTCCCCTCCTCCCGGACTGAGCCCTGAGCCCCGGGGAGCAGGCAAGCGCCGGAGTCCCGGGACCGAGGCCCGGCCGGTGGGCGCCCTTTCCCATCCACCGGGCCGGACAGGCTGGGAAACCGAGGCCGGAAGAGGTCGCAGTCCAGTGAGGAACCGGTTTGCGCGGGGTGGGGATGGGACGTGAGAACCCCCTCCTAGCCCAGCTGTGGCTCCCGACTTGCCACTGAGACCTGGAAAACCAGCGTCAAACCCCAGCCCTTCCCGGGATGTGGCCCGGGCAGGAGTCCTGCTCTAGCTTCTCCAGGGCTGGGGTTGCCCCTCCCCTGTGCAGGGGTGTCTGCGCCTGGCTTGGGCACTCACCAGGGCCTGTGGGCTGCGGGTCTGGAGTTTCCCAAGCATCAAATGTGCCAGCAGAAGCTGAAGGTAGGGATTACCAGTGCCCCCGGGGTGGAGACCCCCCATCGCTGCACCTGGGGAGGCCCATCAGCAGTGGCCGGTTAGAGCAGGGCCCCTGTAGGGAAACTGCCTGCCAGGTACTTTTTCGAGGCTTGGACCACGGCCCTCGGGCCAGCGCCTGGCATATGAAGGCCCTGCCCTGGGGTGTAGGGGCTGGGGAGCCGTCTTGTCCCTCCACTTTCCTGCCAGCTTGGGGAAATTGGGTCGGAAGAGTTTTTTGCCCTCAGGGCTGTGCCCTAGATCCACCCCCTCCCCTCTGCTCCTGGCACCCTGTGCAAAGCTCACCCCGGACTTGCTGAGCCTCTGGGCAGGCCCTAAGTGGCCACTCGTTTGGCTGGCCTGAATCCAAAGCCTCCCCCAGAAGAAGGGATGGGAAACTTGTTCCCATTTCCGGCATCACTGCCACTGCACCCAGGAAGTAAGAGGGGAGGGCAGAGCTTCAGGCCACCCTCCTGGTTCCACAGAGGGCCCTCTGGATAGCGAATGGCCAAGAGACTTTTTTTTTTTTTTTTCTGTCTCTGAACGCACAAAGCAAGGAGGGGACCAGGAAGCTTGAAACTCAGGCCAGCCGGCCCCATGTCCAATTCATCGACTCAGCAGCCCTTGGCGGAGCATGTCCTGGCAGCAGTGCTGGGTCCCTGGCCTCAGATACATGCCATGCAGGGGCCAGACTCACATGGGGTCAGCAGTGCAGGGCAGAGCTGGCGCAGCTTTGCCAGCTTGAACTGTGGGCTGGCCACACCCGTATTACCAGGACACGCCAAAGAAATGCTAAAAACGGGCTCAGAGGAGCTAAGGAGGACGGTGTGCCACCGAGCCAGGGCCTGCGTGGGCCCCTGTCGCCCCCTTCAAGGGGTGCCCCACCCCAGGCTTGGATCCTATGGGAGGCTGAGCAAATATCCTAGGCACAGGAGCCCAGAAATCTTGGCTCTCGTCCGTGGTGGGGGAACAGGTTCTGGGGTGGGACTGCCTTCCACCCAGTACCCCAGGCCGTGCCCCCCTCTGGGCTGTGACAACCAGATCCCTAGAATAAGCCTAAGTGATTCAAGCCAGATGGTTCATTATGGCTTTAGCCAGGGTTATGCTATTTGCTGCCCTAATTATTGGATTATCTCTGTTCTGACAAAAAGAAATGAGGGCGGTTGCTCTGTTGTCCAAGGCAGAGAGTGAAGTGCTGTTTATTTACTCAGCCTTTTCTCCTGGCTCTTTAAAGCCCTTCCTTTATTAAGTCATGTCAAAGCACAAGCACACAACTCACATGTTCCCAGCAGATCTCGCAGAGGGGCGATGACATGGAGGAAAGGCAGTGAATGTCCTAATGAGCAGGACCTGGTGTCTGCCCTGCCAGTTCTCCTAGGATGGCCTCTGTGGCGTGCTGCCCTCCAGGTGGGCCGTGGGCCCCACACACCACACGCTGCCCCTGCGTGAGTTGCTCTCCTGCCTGGTCCCCACCTGTGGAAGCCCAGTTCATTCTTCAAAGCTGTAATCACTAGAGTGCTGTGGGTGGCAAGTGACAGAAAACCAACTCAGAGCGGCTTAAACAATGAGGACAGCTGAGGTCTTGCCACACCAGGGTGCACCAATGTGTCAGCACCTCAGCACCGTCAGGGGTGATGGTCCTGTCCATCTTTGCACGTGGCTGTGCGCTTTTCCTTGTAGACCAAAAATCAAGGCCCATTTCCTATTCCAAAGGGTGTCTGGGTGAGGAAGGTTCAGGTGCAAACCAAGGTCAGAATGACACTGTCAGTCTCCATCAGCAAAGCAGGACCCTCGGGTCCAAGGTGGCTGCTGCAGGTCCAGGCATCACCCGTAACAATAAGGTCCTTGATTGGGTAAGGACTGATTCCTTTTCTCGTGTCTCAGTTTAGGAGCAAGGAAACCTCTCCGAGAAGTCCCCGGGAGACCTGTCCTTTTGTCTTGTTGGCCAGCATTGCCTCATATGTCCATGTTAAACCTGCCCCGTGTGGTTCACCCGGGACCGGGTCAGGACTGATGCCCATGCAGGTCTGGAGCAAGGACAAAGTGTTGAGTCCACCTCAAAGGTTCTCCTTGTCAGGGGGCATATTCCAGCCCCCACTGGCTGTGGTGCCCCTTCCTTTGAGCCCAGAACCTCTTTGGCCCCAGTCATGTTCTACCTGGACCCGTGATATTTTTAATGCACTCAATGTTACAGCACCACCTATGTGTCAGGCTCTGTGTCACGCACGTGTAACATACAAGAGTGCTGAGAGGCCATCTCTGACCGGAGGGTATTCATCAAAACCAAGACAAACAGGGGACCCCGCAGCGAGGGTCAGGGAAGCAGGAACCCAAATGGGAAGCTCTGGCTCGCGGAGGTCACTCACAGAGAGGGCTCAACCCTAAGACGGGGGGGGAGGGAGGAGGTGGGCTGGCAGAGGGGAAAGAGGAAAGGGGGGTACTCCTGGCAGAGGGACAGCTGTGTACACAGGTCCTGAAGTGTCAGAATCTCAGCCCAGTGTAGGCAAAACAATAGAACCAAGTGGCTCAAAGAAGCGGAAGGGACCTGTGAGGAGGCCAAAGCGGTCATATCACAGAAGGTCTTAAAGGCCACACCAAGGAGGTTGAACTGAGTCCAGGAGTTGATGGAGAACCTTCCAACAATTTAAAGCAGATGATGAAGATGTTTATAAAAATCTTAACACTCATCTCTAAGCTCCTGGGAAGCAGGGATGACGGCTCATTTCTGTCTATCCTCCCTGCAGTGCTGGCCTGGCTCAGTGGCTCAGTTTCCCCAACTATAAAATGCTTTCAACACAAGCTTGATGGTTTTCTATGGTCCTTGCCACAGATTTTTTTTTTTTTAACTATTTGAGAGCCTGATATTTTTCTTCCAAAAAAAAAAAAAAAGAAATCAGGGTAGATTTCCTATTCCCAAGGGTGTCGGGAAAGTCCAGGCACAAACCAAGGCTATGGTGATGCTGTCGGTCTCCATCAGCCGAGCAGGGAGGTGTTTGGCCTTAGAGGAGCCAACAGGGGCTTGAGCTTGATTTTCTCTGAATTAGCCCCATTAAAGCTCTATCATTATCGACAAACGGGTGACAACTCTCAAAGGCCCATTAGTGACCAGCCCTCATTATTTTTTCGAAGATGTAAATTTCAGTGAGGTCATGTGATTTGCGCGCTCCAAGGGCAGGGCACTGTGGCTCACAGAGAAGCACCTTCTCCTGCCCTTAGGGCCCTCGTCACTCCCAGCACAAGCCCGAGGTGCTTTTCCAACTCAGAGGGCTCTCCAGGGCCGCGAGGCGGCTGAGCCCTCACCCTCCTTCCCCAAGAGCAACTCTGCTTTTCTCTCTTTTTGTTTCTTAGTTGCATCCTCCTAAGATTTCAGCTAAACGAAGTGGCAAAAAATAAACAACAACAACAACAACAAAAAACCACTTTTTGGACCAGGGCAGAGTGGCCCGTGCCTGTAATCCCAGCACTTTGGGAGGTGGAGGCGGGAGGATTGCTTGAGCCCAGGAGTTCAAGACCAGCCTGAGCAATGTCGTGAGACCCGCCCCCACACACACACCACTGTCCCCCCACACACACACACCACTGTCCCCCCTCCCCCCACACACACCACTGTCCCCCCCAACACACACCACTGTCCCCCCACACACACACCACTGTCCCCCCTCCCCACACACACACCACTGTCCCCCACACACACACACCACTGTCCCCCCTCCCCCCACACACACCACTGCCCCCCCCAACACACACCACTGTCCCCCCCACACACACACCACTGTCCCCCCTCCCCCCACACACACCACTGTCCCCCCACACACACACCACTGTCCCCACACACACACACCACTGTCCCCCCCACACACACACCACTGTCCCCCCCACACACACACCACTGCCCCCTCCCCCCACACATACCACTGTCCCCCCCCACACACCACTGTCCCCCCCACACACACCACTCTCCCCCCCCACACACCACTGTCCCCCCTCCCCTTGCACACACACCACTGTCCCCCGCCACACACACCACTGTCCCCCCACACACACACACACCACTGTCCCCCTCTCCCCACACACACACCACTGTCCCCCCCCCCACACCACTGTCTCTATGTAAATATTTTTTAAACTAGCTGGGCATGGTGGTGGGCACCTGTAGTCCCTGCTACTCGGGAGGCTGAGGTGAGAGGATCGTTTGAGCCTGGGAGGCTGAACTGTGATTGCACCACTGCACTCCAGCCTGGGCCACAGAACAAGAGCCTGTCTCAGAAACAAACAAACAAACAAACAAAAAACAACAACTTCTTGGGAGCCACTAGGCCTCCAGGGAGAAACTATCAGGATGGAAGTGAAGAGGCCTAGATTCTGTGGCCTGGTCTGCTGGGCCGCGCTGAGCAGCTCACCTGCCCTCTCTGAGCCTCATTTCTCTGAAGGGAAATGAAGTTGGGCCATGTGCTCCCTAAGAGAGCTGCACCAGCCTCTCAAAATTGTGACCGAGCTTCTATTTATAAACTATCATTTCTTACCTTCCAGTGGAGTTCAGAGAAATTCGTCAGTGCCTTCCCGGTGACACTCTGGACGCGCTGTCCCTTCCCAGGAGGTGGTGGCAGGTGTCAGTTTCCCCCGAGCAGAGGGAGCAGGTCACTGCCCTCCGTGGACAGGGGTTTGTGCAGAGCCAGCGCAGGGGCTCCTCCCCTCCAGGACCTGGGTGTCCCAGGGGGAGCAGACAGCCACTCCGTCTTCTGGCTGTCCTTCTCTGGGGTTGGGAAACAGGCAGAAATCAGACTGTGCATTTTCACACGTGAGGCTCACACCGGCTCCGAGCTCCTGGGAGCACCTGGAGGGCAGGTGGGCTTGAATGGCCCAGCCACATGTGTCTGCATCTGTTTGTTGGTCTCAGAGGTGTGGCCAAGGCATGGTCCCGTTGCTCAGGAGGCTGAATCATTGGGGGAACACACCCCAGGTAGGCCTGACCTGAACGGCATCGAATGACTGTCACGTAAAGCCAACGGCTTTGGAGAATATTGTTACAAAAGCACAGATTGGTGTGTCTTGGGCTGTGGCTGTGTGCATTGCTGCAGGAGCGGTGGGATATACCTACCTTCCAGCAGCCTCACCTGCTTGGTGTGTAGATGGCAGCTAGCATGCCAGCTACAGCTACTGGAGGCACACATACCCTTCTCAGGAGAACGTGCCCCAGGCTTCACTCAAGACCTAGTGTTTATTGATTTTTCTGAGACAGGATCTCGCTGTGTCACCCAGGTCGGATGCAGCGGCACAGCCACACTCACTGTTGCCTCAACCTCCTGGGCTCAAGGGGTCCTCCCACCTCCGCCTCCTGAGTAGCTGGGACCACAGGCATGCGCCACCATGCCTGGCTATTTCTGTATTTTTTGTAGAGGTGGGTGTTGCCATGTTGGCCAGGCCGGTCTTAAACTCCTGGCCTCAAGTGATCCACCCGCCTCAGCCTCCCAAACTGCTGGGATGACAGACGTGAGCACCGCGCCAGCCACCAAGATCTGTTGGCTCTTAGTTTGCACATAGTTCTAACAAGTATCATCACCTGGTTTCTTGGGAGAAACAATGACTGAACAGGTGAGAGAGCTGTTTGTACTACCATAGACAAGTAATCGAATAGGAGTTTCAGGCTCATGTCAAAGAAAGAGGCAGAAAAATAAAACCGAAAAGAGGACCACCCGGGACCCTCTGGTTGCTTCATGTCCCCGTTCGCATCTGGACTATGACTGTGACGTTCGGAAGAGTAATCGTAGCCATAGCGGCGACTCAGGTTATTCAGAAAAGCTTAAGTGACCATTTGTATCTTCTGTTCCCAAAGGCAGGGAGGGAAATGATCCAGTCGAGGACAGTTTCATTCCAGAATGGGTCTCGTAGAAGCCAGTACCTAGAAAACCCACCATAGGGATCTGCTTCTTCTGTAGTGATCTACGGATCCCCTCCTACACCCCAGGCACACTGTGTGCTGTGAGGTGGATACCACCGTTGTCTCCATTTGACAGATGAGTAAACTGAGGCATAAAGACGTTAGATCAGCTGGTCACACAGCAGGGAAGTGCATGCTGGGATTTGAACCCGGGAGACCGATGTCAGAGGGCAGGTCTTGCACCCCACACTGCTGCAAAGAGAGACACGTGCTGATCCGTGTTAGAAGGGGGTGACCTGGACAAATGCCACTCCCATCACCAGCTCCACACCAATGGCCTTTCATTAGCCAATTTCCCTGCAGACCCAAGAAACTGTATTATGCCTGGCTGGGCCCAGCACTCACCCAGAAATCTGCACACTTGTTCTATAAAGGGCCGGACAGTAAATATTTTCAGCTGTGCAGGCCATATGGTCTGCTTCTGAGGCAGGAAAGCAGCCGCAGACGAGATGTAAATGATGGGCCCAGTCAGGTGTGGCCATAATTGGATCTAGATCCATGTTGGGAGCGTAGCTCAGAGCCTGAAGAATAGAATCTTTCAAGTTTGGCCTTCCCTTATCCCAGGATCACACCAGTTGTTAAGCCCGCACCTGCTGGTTGGCCTGTGGTTGGAATCATCACCTCCCCCAGCCCCACTGTGCCGTTGGCGAACTCCTACTCATCCCTCATGGCTCAGGTGAAACACCACCTCCTCCAGGAAGCCTTCCCTGATTGTCCCAATTCACATGGGCTCCCCATGGCTCCTGGCTCACCAGACTCCACTGCGGCAAATTCTTTCCTTTTGTTCCTCCCCTTAAGCTGTGCTTTCATTGGGGTAGGGACTCTGCCTCACAGATGTCCATCCCCTAGAGTCTGGCGTATGGTGAACACTTGGTAAATAATGAATGAATGTGACACCAGTTGACCAGCCCTGCAGCCTGGGAGCAGGCTCTGGGCTTCTGAGGCCCTCTGTGAATGCGCATCTTGCTGTCCGGGGATTGCCCCCAAGCTCTGCCCCTCACCATCGCCTCGGCCTTTATGCTGGGAGCCACCGCTGCATGGAAAGCCACAGCTGCTCTGAGTGATTGCCCCCGGGGAGGGAGGCAGCTGCACCCAATTACGGTTGCACCCTCCCCCTGGCTGTAGGGAGTTATCACTGCCATTGAGAGACTTGGGGGCAGCAGTGTGAGGACCCAGCTGACTCCTCACAGCCTCCTCGGGGTCCCCAAGGGGCCAGAGAGGCAGAGGAGCCGCAGTCCTGTGTATGGGCCAGGGCCTGCCTCTCTCCAAGCCTCGTCTCCTCTGCCCTCTCATGTGATCCTTGTGACATCTCACGGGTGAGGGAAACTGAGGCACGGGGCCCAGACTGGCAGTTGCACCAGTAGGGCGGGAACTCCTTTGACTGGGCGCCCAGCTCAGGCGGCCACACTGGGCCAGACAGGGGACTGGTGTGACCCCCCCAACCTCT